TAATACCTATTTGGTTTTATTTCTTAAAATAAATTGATTAATATTTTTATGTTTCTATTAGAATTTTAATTTATTTTGTTTTCATGTTTTCTTTTGGTGGTACGGTAAGTGTTTTATTTAGTTATTTTTATTTTTGTTTGTTCAGTAAATTTATACTTTTTATATCATATCATCAAAAAAAATATTGGTGCTTTACAAATTTGGGGTTGGTTGGGTTTTGGCTATTTGTAGTGAGTCCTTTTTTACTGCAGTATGGAATAGACGTAAGTCGCGGGGTAAAGCATAAGACGCGATGACGTTTGTCTGACGGGATAAACTAATTATAAATGCTGATCCTCATCGTAAAGCCAGTAATAATAGACGCGACTCTGAGGAGATGTTTATTACTTACCACTACACTAATTATGTTTACACATTAGCATTAATGTTTTTTTTCCACTATTAGTCCTTTCAATATTGTTAGCATATTTTTAATTTGTTGAATGGTTTTTTGTTTTACAAATTGTTGACTGGTTATGTATTTCTTGTATATTTTAGTTCATATTGTTATTTATAAAACAATTTTTTTATTTTTTATTTTTTATTTATATATATATATATTTATATATATATATATATATATATATATATATATATATATATATATATATATATATATATATATATATATATATATATATATATATATATATATATTTTATTATTATTTGTTTTTATTTTTTTTTTTTATTGTTATTATGGTTGAGTACTGTTTTGGTTGTATAGCTTGTCTTATTTATTTTTAAATATTCCTCTATTAATCTTTATTTTTGTCTTGACAACTGTCAAAATATGCTTTGTCTAATAAATAATTCTCCTTTATTCTAATGTACTTCATTTCTTCCCTCAGGCGTTCACTGCTCGTGTGTGACCATTCGGCGAATTTTATATGCCAAAGTTTTAAATAATTTCATATTTTTCCATACCAGCAAAAAAATCGAGATTATTTTACTTCACTTGCTAAAAACACAAAACTAGATAATAAACTGACTTAAAATTTATGTAGTAATCGATACAGGTCTGAACTTGTCGTACATATAAATTTTATCTTTATAGCGATGATTCATACATCCCATTCCGGGAACTTATTAATCCATGTAGTATATATATATATATATATATATATATATATATATATATATATATATATATATATATATATATATATATATATATATATATATATATATATGTATACATATATATATATATAAACATCTACAGATGTGATAAAGCGAGCGTTATCACTTTAAAATATCACATGAAACACATTTGTAAACACTATATTAAAAAATTGCAGGCACAAGGACTGTTTAGCTTACAATCAAAGTAGAAAATCTCCCTTGTTCAAGAGCTTTGGAGGGAGAAAATGATAAGTTGTTTAATTGATTTTTTATGAAAATTTTTAGTAAATGATGAAACTTGTTTAATTTAACAGTAAAATTTTTCAGTTAACAAAGCACTAATATAAAATGTTTGCAAATGTTTGCTCATGTCAAAATTGAAAGAGAGTTACCAGCACTGACCACAAGGATTAACAATTAAATGGTTTTTAAAACTTAACTTTTAATTTATTTTAATTTTACAATTTAAATGATTTTAAAAATTTAATTTTTTAATTCAGAAATCAAGGCTTGTTCATTATTATCTAAACAAAGGTCTTCACTGCCAGATTTATAAATAAAGTTTCTACAGGATCTAATAACTGGTTTATGATAATAAAGATATCACTATTCTATCTTAAGCGTATATTCTGTTGGCTGTTTTATGCTATTTCTTAATAAAATGATCCTCAAATTTTTCTTTACATGCATGATTAAAATTTTTTTCTTCAATCATATTTGAATTTTCATAAATTTGAATTGCTGATCTATATTGTCAACATCTTTTCCTTCAGCAAGAAATTGAAGCTATACAAATTTATTTTATTTTATTTTTTTATTTTTTGTAGTTATTAAGGTGTTAAGTCTTAACGGTCCTATCACAGAACACGGTGGTAGAGTATTTATCTAGAAAGCTTATGTCTTCTTCCTAACCCATGTCACTTATTGGGAAAGAGCTAGTGTCCATCCTCGGACCTCTGGGTTCTAAGCCATAACTTTACCCGCTGAGCTTTGACTTTCACCTTTACTTTCAATTGCAGGCTGCCCTTTTAGTTGTTACTACTCTCTCTCTCAATTCTGTTGAGTTGTTCATGTTCCCAGCTGTGGCAATCACTTTAAGAAAACTAAATTTCAACATTAGTCAAGAAATTTTTTAGCAGTAGAGACAGGAAGTGTCTTCCTCTGAAATTTTTACCATTTTACTCCTTTTAGATAATAATAAATTTGCTAAAATTTTAAACTAATGCAAATGATGGTGGCATTTTGTCACATGATAATTCATTGGCATGATAATTCATTTGATATTTGATATCATGTCACATGATAATTCATTTGGTGGCATTTTGTCACATGATAAT